CCTGTGGCCGATTGGTTTTTAAATTCTAAAAAAACCAAACGAAGTCTAAAAATCATAAGATTTGTCATGATGTGATGATATCATACATGGAGGCTGTGGTACAAAATTGAGAAGGTTTCGCACAATTTGTCACGTACGATGTTTACAAACCAAAGCATCTTAGAAGAAGAATTGTAGCGTTGAGAAGGAATCTGTAAGATTTGGAGTCAAAGTGATGGTCGAATTGGGGTTTGGCTTCAAAACTTTTTGTGTAGGCAATAGAGAACCTAGATTGTTTCATGTGAAATTTTGATAATTTTTTGGATCCGTTTGATAATTTTAATTTATTAAGTGCAATTATAGAATTTTAATTGATACAAATTAAATTTGAGCTGTAACTAGCATAAAATAATGGAATAATATTCGTAGAAAAATCAAATATATATTGTTGAGTCAATTTGACAGGGTATTTTCAAAGTACATCGAAAAAAAAGGAAAATACGTTATGAAAAAAGAAAAAAGAAGAAAAATGAAAAAAAACGGGGTTTGTCGAGTGCCCCATCTGACACTCGGCGAAGCATCTTCGTATGGGTCTCTTTGTGGGAGCGTGACGCCACTATGGGTCGTGCAGGAGGCCAACCGGCCCATCTAAGATGGACTTCTCACGCTACGGAGCAGCCAAGCAGCAAAACAAAGCAGCAAACACCCGAGCGCAGCGTTTGTTTTTGCTCCCAGATTAGCACCATACTGCTTCCCGAACGTCGCAACCAGCTTAAAGTGCCGCACCTCAGCGCGCGTGCCAGCCGGCCACAGCTACGAGCGCCTGTTGCTCCAGCTTAGGTGGGCTAACGAGTTGGGTATAAGGGGGAGTTACCGAAATGCATGTGAGGTGCCAAGTCCCTTGGACGTAAGAAAAAGTGCAGCGCGGTGCAGAAGAAACCCACAGCTGTTTGCTGAGGTGTTGTGGTCCTGGGCCCGGCCAAGTTGCGCTGTCGTTGGGTTCAGGGTGCGGTTCTGAGCCACTGGGAGGTGAGCCTGGCTGGACCTGTTGACGAGGAGTGCATTCCGGCCTACGAGAGCCTGCCTGTGACGATCGTATTCTCGCCGTCATGTTATTTTATTTTACCCGATACAAAACACTCGGTAAAGAGACGTTTCTGTCGTGTCAAATTTTGTGAGCTTTGCCGAGTGTCTGTGGCACACGACAAAGCCACTGTTTCGGGTAGTGTATAATATTTTTGTTGCTGAAAACAAATATTATAAGCTCGTATACAAAATGGTTGAAACCGCTAGGCCCAAGCAGCGGGTACGACACCAGCTCGTATGAGCAGAAACGCGTATTGACGTTCCGTTTTGAAATGTTGTAAATCAAACTATCTCAATTTTGATCAGGTTTATTTATACGGATGGCTATTAGTATTTATACCATCAAATAGTTATATTAGTTCCGTGATGAATTCCATAATACGTAGTTGAATTATATATCATAAACATTAATTAGTACTTGTTTGTATAAATTTAACTAAAATTACTATCATGTTTTGACTTATTAGGACAACTTAGGCCCCATTTAGATTTAAAAAAATTTGCGCAGTACCCGTTACATCGAATCTTGCGGCACATGCATGGAGTACTAAATGTAGACGAAAAAAAAACTAATTGCACAGTTGGGTGAGAAATCGCGAGACGAAACTTTTGAACCTAATTAGTCCATAATTAGACACTAATTGCCAAATAAAAACGAAAGTGCTACAGTAGCTAAAATCCAAATAAATTTGGATCTAAACGGGGCCTTACAGTTGCGGTATTTCTGAGCCATTTGTGTGCTATGAAGGCACTGCACATTCCATTGATGGCCGGTTTAATTTCAACGGAATGGTAATGCTAGTGCTAGTACGTGGTACAAAGATTTTGATGTTCCGGTGGTAGCAGAGTCGTTACTTCATGCATATAATATAATATAATATAATATACGGTCGTCTGTCTCGGACCGGACGTGTTACGTACGAGAGTATAGGGTGCTGCCGTGCGCAGGAGCTCTTCGGCACGTCAACGTACTGTGACCTGGTGCTCGTGTCAGTGTGAGGCTAGATGGAGAACATGCATGGATTCCGGCCGGCTCTGCTCTGGTACAAACCTTTTGGTTTGCAGGGACCTAAGGCCCTATTTGAATCAACTGCAACTAAAGCTTAGGTGAACTAAGATTTAGTTGAGCTAACATTGGATGGATCACTTTTAGTCGAGTGGTGTTTGGATACATGCACGAACTAAAGATAAACTAAAAGATAAAAGATTCCCTAGACATAGACTCGATGGCACATTTTACGTGGTCCACAATAGTTCATGTTTATCATCAACTTATGGACTAATGTTTAGATGGATGAAGAATTAAAGTTTGGTACGCTTTTAGCTCACATGTTTGGATACCTAGGCCAGCATCCAAACAGGCCCTAAGGCCATCTAGCCTACTCCTACTCCCTTAATTAGTTGTAAAAAGGATATAATTCTACTAGGTTTGTAGAAAACAAGGTTTACTAATCCATATTCTACTAAGTTTATAAAAAAATATCAATATTTGTGTTCTTTAAATAGATTTGCTGCGCCATAATAATTAATCTAATAATGGCCTTGACTCAGTATTATAAATGGTAGTATTTTTGTATACATCCGGTCAAGTTTTAAACCATTTAACTTCTTTATTTACAAACAGGAATTACATTGTTCTTTGGCGACCGAGGGAGTAGCTAAAATAGGATGTAATAGAAAGGTTTAACGGTTTAACAACCCGGCTGAGCAATTTATCTTTTACTACAAATCTATACTCACTACTAGAATGAACGAGTTTCCCTTGGGCCGAGAATCCTACGGAAAGGCCGGAAAACGGTAGGGAAGTAGTTTCCCTGGAGTATTTGGTAGGGAAAGACTCCTGGGGAGTGCGGCGACGGGAAAGAGAGATGTGCCCTACCGTTTATGTGGAAACCGTAGGGAAACAGTCTTTCCCTAGGAAATTGCATCCCTAGGTAAAGTACCTAAGATGGCCCTGATAAAGCTTACGTGGAAAGGTGATTACCCTACAGGAAACTTTCCCTAGGAATTTGAACTGTAGGGAAACCAGCTGACTCAAGCACAACATTCAAATTCAAATCATGAATACATAATTCATATTTGAATTCAAATATTATTACGAAATTATTTATAATCCAGATTCACACACACGAATAGGAACTTAAGAACTGATTTAATTAAAGGCCAAATCCATGGATCGGACCGAACATTTAGAGTTATATCATCATAAGACAATTATAGGTCTGTTAATATAAAGCCTAGTAGACATGCCTACTTAGCTTCTAAAAGATATCTCCTCCATCAGGTGCTGACCTAACTATTACTTAAACAAAATAAGCAACAACAGTTGCCTACTTAGCTTGCAAAAGTCTATCTCCTCCATCAGGTGTTAGACCTAACTATTACTTAGCTGCAGCACATAGTTCAATGACAATCAAAAGAACGGAAATGCTTCGTCCGGAGGAGAATATGTGCCTCCACCACTTGTTGTTCCATCCACTCCATTTGGAGTTCCATCTGCATGGCTATGGAATTCTCCACGAGCAATCCTACTTATAGTTTCATCTGGAGTTTCGGTTCTAACACTTGAGCCAAAGGTACCCACCTGTGATAGTAAAGCAATCAAAATTTTTTTTCTCCCAGCCCTTAGTTCATTTTACAGAATCACTTCTCAGTAAAAAAATTGTTTGTCACAGCTCTTCCTGAATTTAGTCTGGAAGCTATTTCCGGGGAAGGAAGTGAATGACATAAAGGTGTGTTGTAAGAAAATGGTGCTATTTCTGTCTCGCTACTATAATATTTTTGTTGCTGAAAACAAATATTATAAGCTCGTATACAAAATGGTTGAATCCCCTAGGCCCAAGCAGCGGGTACGACACCCGCTTGTATGAGCAGAAACGCGTATTGACGTTCCGTTTTGAAATGTTGTAAATCAAACTGTCTCAATTTTGATCAGGTTTATTTATACGGATGGCTATTAGTATTTATGCCATCAAATAGTTATATTAGTTCCGTGATGAATTCCATAATACGTAGTTGAATTATATATCATAAACATTAGTACTTGTTTGTATAAATTTAACTAAAATTACTATCATGTTTTGACTTATTAGGACAACTCACAGTTGCGGTATTTCTGAGCCACTTGTGCGCGCGCGTGTGCGCTATGCAGGCACTGCACATTCCATTGATGGCCTGTTTCAACGGAATGGTAATGCTAGTGCTAGTACGTGGTACAAAGATTTTGATGTTCCGATGGTAGCAGAGTCGTCTGTCTCGGACCGGACGTGTTACGTGTAGGAGTACGTACGAGAGTATAGGGTGCAGCCGTGCGCAGGAACCTGAGCTCTTCGGCACGTCAACGTACTGTGACCTGGTGCTCGTGTCAGCGTGAGGCTAGATGGAGAACATGCATGGATTCCGGCCGTTTCTGCTCTGGTACAAACCTTTTGGTTTGCAGGGACAGCATCTCCGAGAGTTTTCTATTTATCTTTCTAATACTTTTTTTTTAGGAAAATCAGAAAAAATCTCTCTCCAACAGTTACTAATCCATCCTCCTAGTATTTAGCCACTTGAGAAAAATGAGCCAGTTCCACATAACTTTACGCGGCTATTGAGTCCCGCGGATCCTTCTCCCTACTTGCGTCCGCAGGCCGCCACCACGCTGCCGCGTTGGAGCTGTGCTCGCGCGCCGCCGGGGAGCTCGCCTGCGCCGCCGCGCTGATGCTCTGCTCGCTCGCCACGCTCGCGTACCGGCCGCGCTGGATCACTGCTCGCTCGTCGCCCTCGCGTACCGGCCGCCGCGCTCGCATGCTGTTGCACCGGTGCCGCGTGCTGCTTCTCTCGTGGATGCCCGCGCCCTGCTCCATCAACACTCAAGAACCGATCGATCGAGGTGAGCCCAATATAGGAGTAGGAAAAATATAATGGGTGTCTTCCAACAAGGCGATGCGACGATGAGCTTGATGATGAGGCCGGTGCTGCACCTGATGGTCGGGCTGGTGCTCTACGGCGTCGCCGAGGAGATGACCGTGCCGGCGCTCGTCGACAAGGTCACCTCCGCGCTCTGCCCCGCCGACGACAGGTCTTGCCCGGAGGCTCTCTACCTCACCGGCCTGCAGTCCTCGGTATGCCTTCGTTCCTTCCTAGTACTCGTCAGCTAGCTGTGTGCATCCATCACTGTCCCTGCAAGCAGTCTGCATTATTCCGGCGGTTTGACGATGTTCTAGGACAATCTTCATAGTGTGTTTTTCATCAGGTTCTTGTTCATTGAATGGTCGCATGTTTGCTTCAGTGTACGTGGTTATCAGAGGAAGAAGACGATGATAATTACCAAATTTGATTTTTTCGATGTCATTTATTAGAAACTCTTGAAGATGACATTCTTTTTCCTCCCCAAATCTTTTTAGGAGCTACCAAACTATAAGTTTTTAGGAGAAAAAAGTAGGAAACTCTTGGAGATGCTCTAAGGCCCTATTTGAATCTACTGCAACTAAAGCTTAGGTGAACTAAGATTTAGTTGAGTTGACGTTGGATGGATCACTTTTAGTCGAGTGGTGTTTGGATACATGCACGAACTAAAGATAAACTAAAAGATAAAAGATTCCCTATACATACACTCGATGACACCTTTTACGTGGTCCACAATAGTTCATGTTTATCATCAACTTATAGACTAATGTTTAGATGGATGAAGAATTAAAGTTTGGTACGCTTTTAGCTCACATGTTTGGATACCTAGGCCAGCATCCAAATAGGCCCTAAGGCCATCTAGCCTACTCCTACTCCCTTAATTAGTTGTAAAAAGGATATAATTCTACTAGGTTTGTAGAAAACAAGGTTGACTAATCCATATTCTACTAAGTTTATAAAAAAAATATCAATATTTGTGTTCTTTAAATAGATTTGTTGTTCCATAATAATTAATCTAATGATGGCCTTGACTCAGTATTATAAATGGTAGTATTTTTGTATACATCCGGTCAAGTTTTAAACCATTTAACTTCTTTATTTACAAACAGGAATTACATTGTTCTTTGGCGACCGAGGGAGTAGCTAAAATAGGATGTAGTAGAAAGGTTTAACAATTTATCTAGAATTAACATTCCAGATTTCACGAATCCACGGAATTTGCTTTTGCACGCCACGCGCACACAGTGCACAGACAACACAAGATGTCAGCACGGCAAGGCACGGCAAAGGCAAAGAGTGCCTATGCATTCACCAAACTGGGCCGGCAAAGCAAAACACTCCCTGTTTTCCCCAGGTGCTGCTGTTGCCGCCATCTGCCGAGTCCAGACGTTACACAGCCCACAACTGGTCCATCTCCTGTTGGCTGTTGCATGACATTGTCGGGACGGAAACCCTACGCGACGTCGTGCCGTGCCACCCGGCAGACACAAAGGTGGCGGCCGCCGTACGTTGCCGAGCACGGTCGCCTCGAGTCCCGACCCGACCTGACGCCTGGCGCCGAGTGCCGAGCAGACCAGGCGACGCGCCGAGGCGGTCAGGATACAGGGAGGAGGAATCCCATCGAAGACCGCGAGCCCGGAAGGCCGGAAGAGCCATGCGTGCGTGCCGGTGTCCTTGTGCTGGGGCACGGGGCCGGCCGGGGAGCCCGTGCCTCGATCCACGGCTGCCTGCCTGCCTGCCCCCGCCGAAACCCCGAACGGTGCCGGCCGCCTCTGCCTGCCTCTGTGTGCTTTTGGCCCTGGGCCCCCCTGGCTGGCCCCGGCGACCGGCCGACCGGCCGGCGGGAAAAGCAAAAGCCAGGGGATTAGGGTAGGGGAGTCGAGCAGACAGCGGAGGGCTGAGGGCAACGACCAACGAATCAGGGCCGGTGATGATGAGGCCATCGATGCCGACCTGATTGACACGCCGACGCCGCAACGGGCAACGGCACGCCACCGCCGGATCATCGGAGCACGCTGCTGCATGGGAACGCGGCCTAGGACAGGACACGAGACGTGAGACGTGAGACGAGACGGGCTCGCGCACCATAGCCTGCGCCGATGGATGCTGACTGACTGCGCACTGTAGCCACGCTGTCGGTGGACGCCATGCCCTGTGCCCTGGCGGCGTGGCCTCTGCTCTCTGCTCTGCTTTCCCATTGGACGTCTCCACTTTGGGTGGACATTGGACACCTGTGTCTGTAGTAGCGGAAGTCGAGCAAGGAGCAGCTCGACGGCCACCCTGCTCTCACAGACACACTGTCGACGCGACCCGGCCGTCGCAGGAGATGTGCTGGAGTACTGTTATCCTGGTCGGTCCAGGTCCGTCCAGCTGCATGCGTGTGCCAAAGACGTGCTGCAGCCAAGCCTTCTCCTCCTCCTCCTCTTCTTCTTCTTCAACGAAGAAAGAAAACATATATCATGAATTGGTCTGTCAACGTTTAATGTAGTGCGATAATTGCTCTGGAACGTTTTGAAACCAGCGGCAAGTCAAATGATATAAGAAAAACGTGATGGGTCGTCTGATTTAAAAGTCAAAAGGCAGTCGATCTCTTGGTCCAGGAAGTAACCGTTGTGGACATCTGTCATGGATTCGTGATACGTGTCTACGTAGATGAATAATCCAACATACTGAAAGAGTTGTGTTTCATTCCTGTAAAACTATTTCTTCAAAGTTTAAACACCAAGCACATGTGTTGGACCTGCTCCGCACCGCTTCGGCATAAGAAAACAGTTCACGGTGGCGTCCTTCCGTTTTTTCTGCGCCTCAGCATGCGCCCGGTTGATCGCCCACCACCTCGCGTCCTCGGGAACGGGCGGCGGGGAGGCTCGCACGTCCCTCATCCCCTGCAGGAACGGTGAACGCACATAAGGGAATGAGAAATAATGAGAAACGGAGAGGGCTCGGGGGCTGTAGCGGCGCGCGACTTACCAACGAGAGGTACCCCCGCGACGGACACGTCGCGAGGGTGGTCAGACCACCGCTCCGTAGCTTCACGTCCTCGTCTCCCTCACCCGGCGAAGAATTTCCTCGTCAGAGAGGGCGGAGGCAGACAGCCGGATGCCCGCGATCGGATCATCCAGCCTCATCTCGAACAGGCGCCGTCGCCGAGCCATCAGCGGCAGCACCCTCCGGCTGTGGAAGGCGGCCACAACCACAGCCGCAGTAAGGTGGTGATCCCACAGCCTCTGCAGCCCCTCCAGGAGCGGCTACATCTTGGGCTGATCCTCCCTCGGGACGCCATACTTCCATCTCTCCGGGCAGCTCCCCACAATCCGCCCAGTGTAGGGGGAAGTCCACCGTCGTCGTTGCGAAGATAGAACCAGCTCGTGTACCATCGACGGTTGGTTGACACGAGCTGGGCCGGGATATAGAGGTGCTGGCGGTCCTGGCGCACTTGGAGAGTGCAGCCTCCGGCCCTCACTGCCTTCCTCGTGCCCGACGTGCCCGCCGGCTTGGTGGTATGCCCCGCCCGGAAGAGATGGAGCCACAACTCTTAGTGGGGAGCAATCCCCAAATACCCCTCACAGACAGCGACGAAGATGGCCGCCTACGTGATAGAATTGGGGTTGAAGTTGTGGAGCTCCACGACATAGTAGTGCGGGAGCGCCCGCATGAATCGGTCCGTCGGGACACCGAGGCCGCGCTTGTGAGAGGACACGAAGCTCACGACGTAACCGTCGCGAGGCCTCGGCTCCGGCTCGCCCGACGGAGCGATCCACTCCGGCCTGTTGGGGTCGGTCACCGGACGAAGGAGCCCGCCGTCGACAAGCGACTGAAGCATCTCCACGGTGACGTCGGATGGATCCCAAGGGTCCGCCTCGATGACAACAATGTCGCCGGCCATGAGTGTGGTGGAGGGCTCGACTACGGCGGTGAGTCTCTCTCTCTCTCTCTGCCTCGCCTCTTTCCCTTCTTCCTCCCGGGGCTCTCTGCTCTAGCGACGGCTCAAAGACGACAAAGCTAATGCGGGCAAGGTAAGGAGGGGAGGAGCGAGGCTCGTTGCGTATTTATGAAGGGTGAAGGCGAAACGGACGGGCAACGAAATCGGGGAAGTTTCTCTCAGATCCGGCGCGGTTAATCCTGATCCGATTTTACCGCCCGTATGTCCACCTTTTCCTCATTAATAGCAGGAACAGTTACAACCCATCCACTGACGCCACGTCACGACCGACCGCTGCAGCAGCAGGTGTCGTTCCGCCTCCCCGAGGAAATCGCCTCAAAAGGCGCGCCGGCCGTTGTCGAACCGATGGGGGAGATATCCCCCCCCACCCTATTCCTTTCAGGTGAAGGAACCGGGCGCCGAGCCCATTACGATCCAGGGGTTTGAAGGCTGGGCCCCTAAGGGTTTCGACAGCCGCCCCAGGGCAATAGAGTCAGGGACGACCGCGGGCGAGCCCGTATGGGACCGAGACCCAAGCAAGCGAAACGCTTGGGACGCCCAAAGTCACGTCCTAGACCGGCAGGGAAGTCTCCGAATGGGATCCCACCGTAGGGAGGCACTGAGCCACCGAGGCCCAGCGAACGACCTCGGCACCCACTAGAGAAACCCTCTGGTACTCTTGGAGTGCGTCCATGGACCGCTAGCCGACCCCTAACGAACGGGGCTCAGGCCTCCACTCGGACTTACCCGATAACAGCTCACCAGAAATGCCAACGCTCGCGCCCATCGAGGGTAGCCTGGCATATTCCACCCCTCCTTCCGAATGAAAAGGAAGCGCGAGGGTCGTATAAAAAAGCCAGGGGAACCCCTGACGGACCTCCCATAGAGGCTAAGGGGCTCTCCCTGCAACTTTGTCGAGACCCAGCGACCTAGGTTCGCACTCGAGGGGCCTCGGCAAACAAACCCTCCTTCCGAACGAAAAGGTTGCGCGAGGGTCGTACAAAAAGCCAGGGGAACTCCTAACGGCCCTCTTGCTCTGGGCAGAGGCTAGGGAGCTCTTCCTGCAGATATGCTGAGACCCCGCGACCCAGGCTCGCACCCGAGGGGGTCTCAGCAAACAAACCCTCACGCGCGAGGGGCGTATAAAAAGCTAGGAGAGCACCTGATGGCCCTCTCGCTCCGTGCAGAGGCTAGGGGGCTCTTCCTGCAAGTTTGTCGAGACCCAGCGACCCAGGTTCGCACACGAGTGGGCACAGCAAACAACCCCTCCGTCCGAACGAAAAGGATGTGCGAGGGTTGAACAAAAAAGTCAGGGGGACCCCTGACTGCCCTCTCGCTCCGTGCAGAGGCTCGGGGGCTCCTCCTACACCCAAGACGAGGACAAGCGACCCAAGCCCGCACCTGAAGACTAGAAAAAATGCGATAAAAGGGCACCGAGC